TAGACAGAGGAGGAAAATAAAGTGGCTTATGAGCGCGTTTACCACCACCACCCACCCCAGCCACAACCACAGCGGCGGCAACAACGACGCCAGCAACATGGGCGGCGGCAACAGCCTCCCCACCAACCGCCACAGGCCGGAGACACTGCACCCTCCTTCTCCTCCTTCGCCGCACTCACTTCCTTCGTCTCATCCTCCTCCTCCTCTTTAGGTTTCTCCTTGGCCAGGGTTACCTGCAGCAGGAGACCGAGGAGCAGCACTGTCAGAAGAAATTTCATTTTGGTGACTTGTTTGGGTTGACGATGCAGCCACACAAACTCCTCTCCCTTTTATACTCAACTGATGTGCTTGATTTGCTCGTGGTATTGTTTACTATCCGACACTAAGTAACGATAGAAAAGAGAGGACGTTTTTGTTACTTCTGCCTAGACAAACAAACGAGTAAAAAATTGGACGTTGCTCGCAACTGAACCAGCTGGTGCCTGGACTACGGCAACCGCGAATACCACGTGGGGTCTGTAAGAATAGGTTTGCGTTTCAGTCAATGGACAAAAAACTTGTTAACCTGGGAAATTGGGCTTTCCGGTGACCGGCGCTTGCTCATAAAGTCCCCGAAAAAAACGTGTAGTGGGAGTGATCATTCGGCCAATAATCACCAATGTCTCGGGTGAGCTGTTTCGAGGATACGTTCGTTGACATTAACCTCGAACTGGCTTGAGCATGCTCCCAACCACCTAACTCATGATGGCCGAGAGGGGAAGAGAGACGTTGTTGCCTGAAAGAGATGGATGGGAGGTAAAGGTCGAACCCACATGATCATTGCTCAATAATTTGACAGGCTTCGTTTTTTCTCAAAACATGCCAAAGATTATGGTGTGGACTGGCTTCCAGCTGTTGGACAGATCGGGGTTGAGTATGGATCGCTGGCTGGCAGGCAACGGCTAATGGGCCAAAAAGTCTCCTTTGTCCGTCCGCTATGCCATTCCGCCTTTGTCATTAACTGCTGTGCGGCTGGGCTTGTGAGTCCTGTAACCGACCAGTGAGTGCCTATCAACCATAAATATACGTATACAATATGCATAAAAATTTCAAGGTCCGGGTAGCTTATCTTATTCATCATCACCCGAAAAATAAACGAAAATAAAATAGAAAATCGAAATTTTGTTTTCCCGGAAAAAATTTGAACAAGTCAAAGGTCATGATATTAGCTGACCTCTTATTCAGCTGCAGACTGTCGTTGTCTATTAATAAGAGAATTAACTGTCCAATTAAGTGTCGGCCTAGAGGGGTGAA